AGAATTTAGTCATCACTGGTGCTGACCGAGATCAGCAGTTGCCCTTTTGTAGTTAGTTCGCTAGAGTGATTGAAGAAGTAAAGATGGGTCCTCTGAGCGTTATAGAAAGAATAAAGTCTTTGTTAAATTAAATACAATAAAAGTGTATTATTCTCAAATCCCATTTCCAATAGACAGTGATTAAATTAACAATTAGACGAACAGGTAGGGTCCTTTGTAGACCGGGAAACATTGCGCTGTCTGGCTCTCTAGTAAATTAGATAAGTCTATGGGGTACAGCGACTGATATCACGGGAAATTCTCAACCATGATCCTCCTCTCGTTTGCAGGGATGGTGCGCAAATACCTACGGGAAAATGTAGACTGACGGTGATCGATAAGGCTGCCCGTTCTGTTTTTTACTCGTCAAGTTAAATGAGACTGAAAATTGAAAATCCGGAGGAGAGGAGACATCGTCCCGTCGATTTAGCAGGGTCTTCTCACGGTAGATAATGCAATGAAGGTTCCTCCACCCTTTATTGCCCTAGATGTAAGGGAAATTAATGCGACTTTTTTTCAGGACTGGGTGCACCAAGTCATTTGAAACTTCAGCAAGTGATTATGAAAGCTCTAAGGAAGTACGTGGTGCTCGTGAAATTTCATTTTTCATACAGAAATTGTTTTATTTATCATAGACTAGAACCAACATGGTGTGGTCCGTGTATGTCTTCGATGTTTTACGCTTCTTGGAGGCTTAGGATCGAAAATGAAGAGTTTCAGGATCTAACTCGAAGAATTTAGAATACCGTAGAAATGGAGTATTACAGAGTCAGATGGGAAAACATGGAAAATACTTTCACCAACGATTGCAAGAGCTTGTCTGGGGGCTAACGCGTGTCTTTAGAACAAAAATTTAGTTGCGGCTAAACGCTCACAGATGGCGACGTTGGTCCTAAACAGTCGTTAGAATAATGAATTCCCGGGATTTCGACAGTTTTACGTCGATCTCTTTATCATTACTTTCCCGAAATGACATATGGAACGCTTCATTTCGTATAATTCTCAACATAGACTGTAATAGACTTCGACATAAACATAAATGTCGGTAACGGGACGCGCCAGCTTATGTTCCCACTTGAGTATTCAAAATGACGTTCCTACCAAAAAGGGTATACATGAATTTTAATTTGTCGACGTCGATTAAATTTCTCAGCGCCTTTCATATCATCTGAAACTCCCAAATACGGTGATCCATGAAACAATTGTTAGCCAGGTTCGTGGGGATTCCCTTAACGTATCGCGCGAGAGCTCAAGGACCAAGTGGACCTTCCTAAGCTGATGGGAGTCCGACAAAGTACCCTCCATCAGGGGAGATGCCGGTGATTCCATAAATCCAGAGAGTAATCCCAGGGTTCGTCGAAAAGTGGCAAGCCATTAAGCGCGTTGCCCTGATTAATTCGTGTACTCCTGCACACCGGGAGGGTGGCTCCTCCACCCCCGGATGCACGTCGGGAATTATTAATTGGAGGAACCGCGGGCACCGGCTTCCGGGTCTTGTGCACCGGCTTCCACGGAGATCTACGGCACAATTGGCCGGTTACCGGATGCTGCTAACCGTATCGCGCGTTCGTACCTCGGGCAATTAGTATCTGGTTGTTTGGCAACGTGTACCCGCGATAGGACCCCCCGCGAATCGGCCGGTACACTCCACGACACCCGGGCGCAAAAGTGGCGGGGTCTGCTCCTTACGACACAATTGGCTCCAACGACCCTTTACGGAGTTGCGAAAAAGTGCGTACTTCACCCCTGACTTGCTTCGAAGGATCCCTCGGCTCGCTTTAACTTGTCTCGAGAGATTTCTCGCGGCAAGACGTGCCTGGGGAATTCTGGAATTCCAGATTTCGCGATGGAGGGACCGCGGATGCGCGACGTACCTTCCTCGAGTAAGTCTAACGTGGTTGGGCAGATTCGGTTCAAGAATTCTGGAATTGGAGATTTCGCAATTTCGTATTCGCACCGATACTCAAGCTGGTCTGTTGTGAATTTAGCCTCGTCAAACTTGGCGCGGGAATTCTGGAATTCCAGATTTCGCGGTGGAGGGACGGAAGATGCGCGACACATCTTTCACTAGGAAACCTTATGTGCAAGATATGATTCGGGTTAAAAAAAAAATAGAATTCGAGATTTTGCGACATCAATAGCATTGCTTTGAAGCTTGTCTGTTGTGAATTTAGCCTCGTCAAGACTTGGCGCGGGAATTCTGGAATTCCAGATTTCGCGGTGGAGGGACGGAAGATGCGCGACACATCTTTCACTAGGAAACCTTCTGTACACGATAAGATTCGGTTTACAAATGATAAAATTCGAGATTTTGCGACATCAAAAGTATTACCTCGAACAGTTAACAGCATTATAGTAAAGTTAGATGACGACCGTAATGGTGCCTTCTAGCGTGGAGTCACCAAAAATAGATCTCCTCCCCGTGGTTCAGCTGAATTTAATTTGGTTTTTCTCTTCCTCAGTTGAGCGATGGCAGCGTGGCGGAGGCGCCTCGACGAGTGGCCATCGAGGGAGGTCCAGGAAGCGGCAGGACCACCCTGTGTCTGCGACTCCTGCATCATTGGGCCACCCAGGATGATGGACCAGCCCTGGCATTCATCGTGCCCCTCAGGGAGCTACGAGGGAGTGGTCTCCTGAATTACCTGGCCAGGGAACTCTTCCCCAGAACAGCGGCGCTGGGCGACGCGGTGGCCCAGGTGTGGCGCACCCTCCACCTGATGGAAGACCGGGTCCTCTTCGTCCTGGACGGTTACGACGAGTGTGTGGGCGGCAGGGCATCTCTAGGCGACGCGGTAGACTTTCTAGAAGGCAGACTATTCCCCGACGCAAGGATCCTGGTGACCTGCTCTCCGAGTAACTGGTCTGCCCTGTCGCCGTTGGTCCAGAGGAGGATCCACCTAGCTGGGCTAGAGTGGCCGCACGTGGAGCGGCTCTGCGTGGCCTACTTCATCCATAACGACATCGCCGAGAAAGCTTGCGAGTTCCTGGAGGCACTGAACGTCCAACCACAGACTGTGAAGCAGCTTGGCCAGCACCCTCTGGGCTGGATCATGTTGTGCTCCCTGTATCAGGACTCCGGGTGCTTGCCAACAGAAACCAGCGCCTTGGTCCAGGCGGCCGTCAAGTGCATCGTGAAGAGGAGCCTCGAGCCCCCAGTTCCCTTCAACGAAGAAATCCCCGGTCACTGTAGGAAGAGGCTGGAGGACTTTGGGAAGCTCTCCCTTGCCGCCCTCAGAGAGGGAAGGTGCTGCTATACCGAGGCTGAGATCCGGGGTCGAGGTGGAGGGATCGAAGTCACCAGATTGGGATTCCTCACCAGGGGACTCACGTTCGGACAGCGGAGGAAGCCTGATCTGTACACGCCGATTCATATCGCCGTTGCCGAGTTCCTGGCTGCTTATTACCTGACATCCGTTGCGCAGTACGCGAACATCCTCAGACGAGAACTTGAGGGACTGCCGTCGGGGATAATCGGGCACTTGGCTGGGCTGCTGGGACCCAAGACACATCTCATCCTGAACCAACTTTGTCCTTTGGAGGTTCCACCGAGGACCGTCTTCTCCCTGCTGAAGGCTGCTGGTGCCTCGGATGGAAACATCGCTGCTGTCTGCAGGCTCGTTGGCGGTGGTCCTGGTTTTGGACCAGCTCCAAACGAAAGACCGCCTGCTCCTTTGGTGCACACCTCGCCTTTGGAGCTGGAGGGCTGGGCCCGGATCCTGGAGTCTCCGGCCTGCACTCTGGAGGCCATCGAAGTCGTCTTCCAGCTGGAGAGGGGCTCCGATCCGAGATACTTGGACGACTTCTTTGAAGCTCTAGCTGGAAACGAAAGCGTCAAACTCGTCAGGATTACTTCGCTCTTGGGGCAAGAGTTCCCTGCCGATGAGGCGCAAAGACTCGCTGGACATCTCAGGAGCGTCCTGGGCAAGAAGAGGCTCAACGACTTCGAGCTGGTCATCACTTGCCTCGAGGAGTCGGCACATGATCGGTATGTTCATAAACGTCTCTGCTAACGCTAAGTAATCTTCATCTTCAAGAATCTCTCCAAATGCATATTCATGTATGAAGAAACTCCTATATGAGTAGCCAGGAATCTGTTTGGCCATTAAATAGCGTAAAAATCAGCGCGGATTTAATTAGCAAAATGTTCCTAAACGTTAAAAGCCGCCTTTGCACCTGGGACAACACATTAACGAGCTTTAGATTTTTCTTATTCGTTTAATGTCATCTGTTGCAACCTGCGCACCATTCATTAGTATAACTTAAAACAGCATTTGGGCAATTAGTGTTGCTGCGATGTCAGAATTGCGCGTATAAATTCTGGGAGCAAATTGAAGGCGTAATTGAAAGAAGATCGTGCCCATTTCTTGGGTACTGACCCTACCTCTCCACTTCCTGGGACCGATGTTTCCTCCGATCCTGTTATCGCACCCAACACCTCGCTGCTATCAGAAGGAACTTGGCATTCGGTGGTGATGGGAACCTCCGGAACTACCCCGGGTCACGCTATGCAGTTATTATCGTAGATATCGTAACATTATTTCGGAAATATCTACTCCTACGATTCTCTTTCCCGGTTTCAAAGGATCCTCTCTGATGATAACGCGATACTTGTCGTTACACTTTTCGCATTGACAGAGACAATAACACCAGAAGCCAGGATGTTATCAGACAATCGTTTGCTGACACTACGAGCCCCTCTTTGTCGTTATTACCCGCAAGCTGTTAGAAAAAAAAATTTGGTTTAACAATACCACGACCGATATTCCGACTCTTATCGTCTTTTTTTATAATATTCGTTCTGGACACATGAAAATAATTATTATCGTAGAGAGCGTGACATTACTTCAGAGATAACTACTCCTACGATTCTTTTTCCCGGTTTCAAAGGATCCTCTCTGATGATAACGCGATACTTGTCGTTACACTTTTTTCATTGACAGAGACAATAACAATAGAAGCCAGAATGTTATCAGACAATCGTTTGCTGATACCGCGAGCCCCTCCTTATCGTTATTACCCGCAATCTGTTAGAAGAAAAAATTTGATTAAACAATACCACGTCCATGTGTCACGAGTCTTATCATTTTTGATGTTTGTGAAGACATCACAAAAATGATTAGTGTTTTTATTGTTTTTTAATATCATAAAAACTGTATAGAGTATACGGTATAGCTAGATTCAGGAAAGGCACTCCGAATTCCGTCTCCTTTGATGCGACTGTTGGTAATTATCCTTTTTTTCAGCTGCGTCTCATCTCCGAAAAAACTATTCCGGGAGCGAAATCATGAGGCTATGAATCTTTAAGGGCCTTTTAATATTCGGGGAGTTGATTCAAAGGAGCCTGTGACTTGTTTAACGTAGCCTCCCTCGCACGACTCCGTACCTGGGGAACTCCCTCGCCGGGTCTTTGAGGAGCTCCGTCTGAAAGTAAATTAAAAAGTTTACCGGCAGCTCCTCGAAAGCGGCGGGAAGTTTAACGCGGGGCATTTGCCGTCTCTGGGGAAAGTGGAAAAAGTGTGTTTACTTTGTTAACCCTCAACGCCGTGGCTTCATCCCCTTGCGCCGCCACCCTGAAGCAATGCGTCTAGGTTGACTTTTGAATCATTTGTAGAGCCAAGCTTTTTCCGTCAACGACGATCTCGACTGCACAGAGTGGTTCAAGGTGCATTGGTAGGGCGACAAACATTCCACTTATTTTGTGATTCTACATTTGATGTTTTTATATATACTTTGAAGATGATCCAAAGTACATTGGTAGGGTGATCAAAATTCTACTTATCTTGGGATTCTACATTTGATGTTTTTATATATACTTTGAAGTTGATCCGAAGTACATTGGTAGAGCGACAAAAATTCCACTTATTTTGTGATTCTACATTTGATGTTTTTGTATGTACTTTGAAGGTGGTCCAAAGTGCATTGGTAGGGTGATAAAAATTCTACTTATCTTGGGATTCTACATTTGATGTTTTTATATATACTTTGAAGTTGGTCCGAGGTACATTGGTAGGGCGACAAAAATTCCACTTATCTTGTGATTCTACATTTGATGTTTTTCTATATACTTCGAGGTTGATAAAAAATGCACTGGTAGGGCGACAAGAATTCTGCTTATTTTGTGATTTTACATTTGATATTTTTATACATAGAGAGATCATATATTTGTTGTTTATATGTGTTTGTATGGCAAATGCGATGCAAGGACACTTCTGTTTAGATAGCACTTGAAATATAAATTTACTAATCATACATGTATAATATTTTTGTCGCTCTAAAACTACGCCTTGGATCTCGCATTTATAACAGCCTCCGCCATAACTTTGGATTTCAACTCTCCCGATTACGGAGTACCTTACGACGGCTTCTTATCCTGAATAAGTGATAAAGGAAATGAGAATCTCGAGCGAAACGGAGGATGAACGTGAAACAATAATGACGCGAAGCTTAGTCGGCATGTTCGCCCATTATGTCTAAATATCAAGGCGTCGAGATAACGAGATAAGAGTACGACTTTATAATCAAGATATGATATCAACTACTTGCCGAGACGAGCGTAATATTTGTAATAAAAATCTAGCAAATCAGAGACTAACATAGATTGTTCGAATTGAAGTTTTCTCACTCATTGGAATAATTTTCATCGCGATAATAAATAATTATCATCACAAGCTCCGCTCAAAGATGACTTCTTCCTTGTTCGCGAATCGGATGCTAATAAAATAATTATTATATAACATATATTTCATATATATATTTTATAATATAATTATAAAATAATTATTCTTTTCCATCCACCGATTGATAATTGCTCGAGCCGAAGAAAAATTCCACTTCTGTCGGCGATTTTATTGATCATCGCAAGCTCCGCTCAAAATGGCCTCTCCCGTGTTCGCGATTCGGATGCTAATTATTCGTCTCTGTCCACCTAGTGCAAATTGCTCGAGCTTCGCGTCCCACCGTGCGTAATGTGTACAAGGCTGTGCACAAAGTGTTTGCTACCGCCTTCGCTTCGGATACGCCCGGAACAAAGAATGAAATTTCATTAACCCCTTCGCGAGCTTCTGCCGAGTGGCTTGCTCCGGGTCCGCGGTTCAGGGGTTAATTATTCATTTCCGGGCCGAGCTAGTGTAAATGGCTCCAGCTTTGCAAGCCGTCCCACTTGCGTTTTCCTTTTCGTTTCCTCTTGCTCCCGATTCCAAGGTGTCGGAGACAAACGTCACTCGAGAACGTAGGAATTTTCCCGAGAGAAATTTTCCCGCCTGGTGCATTCGCCTTTCGAGGGAAACTTCTTTACCCACGGCTTGGCAATCTCGGCTTTAAAACGATATCGTAATTTGATAACAATTTCTTCGATGTTTTATCCGGTATATTTTCTGAACATAAATGTATAACCTGTTATATGTATTATCGTATGATAAACCAAACACGTAAAAATTACATATATTGCCGTATCACATACCAAGTACGTCAAAATATCATTTATCGTCGTATCATCTACCAAGCATGTGTAAATGACATTTATTGTCATGTCAAATACCAAGTACGTCAAAATACTATTTATCGTCGTATCATCTACCAAGCACGTGAAAATGATATTTATGGACATCTCAAATACCAAGTACATCAAAATGACATTTATTGTTCTACTACATACCAAGAACGTCGAAATTCCATTTATCATATTAAAAACCAAGTACCTACATTTCCCACGCCGAGATAAACGAACCGCGACACGTCTCCAGCATCGGCATCACCTTTTCCTCGTTCCGATACCCTCGGACTTGAAATTAAATTTCATTAAGGTGACATGAAAGTCTATCATATACATACGAAGAAATCAAACTATTTATAAAACTTTTTTCCTGGGTGCACAAAATTCTCTAAAACTTTAACACGCGGTTATGGAGGCTCTAAGGAAGAATGCGTTGCCCGTGAAATTTCATTTTTCCGATCGAAAAAAAATATATATCTTTTTTTTTGGTACTTATCCAAGATAAGTAGGAAATCTTTTTCGACAGAAAAGAAATGTCACCAGCAGTGCATTTATCCTTAGAGCCTCCGTAATCACGTGTTAAAGTTTCAGATAATTCGGTGCACCCAATTTGGAGATAAGTTACATAATTATTTTCACTTTTTGTTCTGTATATATTACACTTTTATGTCACCTTAACCCCATGGGGGTGCACAAGGGAAGTGAACTTCCTCCGGGTGCGGGGTTCAAGGGCTAATTATTCATCTCCGTGTCGAGCGGGGCAAATGGGTCCCCACCCCCAGCGTCTTCCGCCTCTTCGGCTCGCTTCCGGTCCCGGAGTGTCGGGGACAGAGACCGTCTCTGGGAGGTTCGCGGGGGGTTTTGCACCCCGGTGTCGTCCACGTGCTCGAAATTGCCGGTCTTAATATTCCGCGCACGAGGGACGTGGGGGGATGTCCCCTGGCAGCCTCGGGAGCGAGAAGGACATAACAATAAGCAGTGGCAGCCCGGGATCGGACGCCATCTTGGGGAAGGCGGACTTCCTCGGATGGCGAAAGGGCGGGGGGGTGCTTGGAAATATCCCCCGCAAGAATGGAGAGACGTGTCCGTTATGTCGGATGCCAGAACCACGGGACAAACCGAGTCTGCAAGAGGGAATTAAGAAGGACGCCATTCTACGGAGACACCGGAAGTCGGGTCGCCCTCGGGATTTGCCGAGGTTATTCACTCAGGAAATCATGGATTTTAATGCTAGAACTCGAGGGGAAATCCCAACCAGATATCACCATTGTTACGGTTTTAAGGTGATATGAAAGTGTCATATATTCATACCAAAGAGTGAAAATATTTATATAACTTTTCGCGAAATTGGGTGCACCTAATCATTTGACACTTCTGCACGTGATTATGAAGGTCCTAAGGAAGAACGCGATGATCGTGAAATTTCATTTTTCGAGAAAAAAATCTCTATTTTGGACACGAAGCAAAAGACGACATTTTTAGACAAGCAGAAA